CTCATGAGGCTCCCTTGAAATACTGTAGTAAGGAATGTTCGCCGATACAGTATTACCAACGGCATTCTCGAAGCCAGAGGTGTAGGGAACACAACTTCGCAAACAGCTATCAAGCTGACTGAAATCAATACTATTGAAAAGGTAAACTACGCATCACCTGCTGTATATTTCCATAGGCGTGGAACTGGGCTGGGACAGCAATTAGCAGGCACAGCAAGATAAGTTGATTTACACATGCTAGTTGGAAAGATGTCGGATATTAGGATTAGGAGCAGTGATCGAAAATAATTACAAATACTTACTTCGTAAATTAGTCCATTGTACCAACAGTACTACCTAATGATGAGTTACGTTGACTAGCAGATGATTTTATTACTCAGTGCATGATCTTTTAGGCGAGTTATTTACTTGCGAAACTTTCTTTTGTTTTCAATTAAAAAAAACATGGTACAGGTATTGGGAGAATTGAACACAAGGACCAAAGCACTCAAACCTAAATTGATCATATCAGCTCGATCTCATTTCCACACTGAAAATTCTAATCACTTTTCAATCTATCAAGATGTAGAACCCCGTTGAACCAGAAGTGTCGTACATAGGTTTGTATAGCAGTAATGCTGAATGAAATCATTTGACTTCAGATCACTCTAGTTTCCTTTGTACTTCAATTTCATCAAAAAGTTGTCAATCTGTTTGCTAATCAAATACCCAACAACCAGACAAATCATTTTTCTGCAAGATAAGATTCTTGAACCGACTTTTAGAGGTAATACGATTTAGTTTCCATATCTACAAAACTTAAAGATCTTCAATTGTGAATATTACCAAGATTGGACTTCGTTTTCTAATTCAATATGACCAAAAATCCCAGGAACCTTTAATCGACTATTCTGACTTCTGCGAGTTATTACTGTTAATTTATAATTACTCTCGCAGTTCGCCTTTAACTTGAATAGTGTATGTTCATACGCGTCCCACCCAGTCCAACTCTAAAAACGACTATTCTGGGAGAGAACGGTTCTATAATTAATTAAGAAAGGAAATACTGAAAATTATCAAAAACAATATTACACCTTCGAGTTTCCAATTACCACAATAGGTTCCATTGCTGGAAGAATAAGTGCCTCCAGTCCGTTACTGCTAGAGTATCAAATCCAAATATGGATGTAGCCATATTAAGTATCAAATTTAAACAACATATGTATAGTTCAGAAGGAAACATAAAAACTTCAATATAAGTACAAGATATAGAAATAATAACAATTTACAATGATAAAATCTCAAAATGGAATCAAATAGAGTACCAAAATATCAAACAGAAGAGTCAGTCATATCATAACACAAATATATATACATGGAGGGATTTTCCAAAAACAAAACCTTCAAAATAGATTCTACAATCACCAGTAACGAGAAAGATAAACATAAATCTAACAACCATCTAGTAAGCAATAGCTATAATTTAACATTCGTTCATATAATTAGTAGTGTCCTAAAATTCACAGACAGTTTCTCAATCACGGTTGAACAAAACTCAGATTCAAACTATTGATCATGATAATAAACGTAGCGTTGATAATGAAAAAATAGTCATAGAAAAGGTTACTAAACGTTATCATATTAGGCGGGAACAAATTCATTACAGTAAGCACTAATAAAAGTTCAAAACGAAGATCACTCAAAAAAACGAATATTCAGAAAGAACAATGTGCATGCACATACATTTACTGAAAGTGTTGCATTGTGGAATCGAATATTTATACTTTACAAAAGATGAAATGCCTGAAATCTTTCGGATAAATACCGGAAATTGACGACATTCATATTACGCATTCAATATAGTAAGGATGTAATGCTGCTTTAGATCTCAAAAGCAAGACTTTCTTGATGGAAATACCTCTTTTAAAATTACTTACTGACAACTATCACCCGTCATGGAGCATAGGCCGCTGAACAGTATTCTCCAACCTACTCTGTCTTTGACCTTCTTTTCCAGTTTCAACCAATCGCTATTCACTTTCTTCATATCTTTATTCAACTCTCTAACCATTCATTTATTGTAGGTCAATGATTTGTTGTTTAAATTATTCGATAATTGTATCGACCATTTTTTTTTATATTTGTAATAATTCGGTTACAGTATTGATTATTGTATATTTGCTTGTTTGTGCATACTTACTCGTTTATCACATGTCTAGCCTAATTATTGCTTGACTACAAATACTTTGTCATTCTTCAACTCATGGAGAGTTGGTTCACTCGCCTTGTCCATTTCATCACTTCGTTTTGCTTGTATGCTTTCCATTATCATGTCTGTTTGCACAGAGGAGTGCATCAAATAAATTCATCCGTGAAACCATATTTGGCTTCTTACTAGCCCCGTTGCACGAACAAGATTTGGCTGAGTATGATATACGGAAATGGACGAGATTTATATAATTGGACACCCGATCATTCGTCCAATCGGAGTCAAGTGTCGAGTCAATAAAACGGCGAGCTTTACTTGGAATTCAAAACAAGCCGCTAAATGTTCCTTAGTCTACCTCCTTTCTTCTGACCATCAGGAGTCCGAGTAACGGCATGCCAATTTACTCACTTACGTGATTTCCAAAATGTGTTTCCTACCCATTTCCAGTGCATTTTCTCAATTTCTTCGTCTGCTGGAATCTACTTTGTCTTCCTCCACAGAAAATTGTTGTTAATGGTATCATGGCAACGAATCCGAATTATTTAGCGTATGCAACTGTGAATAAACATTCCGTCTGCAGTCCTTCTAGGGTTACAAGTGGCTCAAAGCCTGGACACAGAAGGAGTGTTAGGCATAGAGTTAATGACTTCATACCATAAAAAACTAACTTGCTAACAAAACGCCCATCACAATAAAATTCAAATCATGGAATTATATTTCAGTACCTGACTACAGAAAAAAAAATGAACTTTTAAAGGATTGATTTGATTTCAAGATTTCATATAGCTTACATAAGAAATCTACTTTAACTAGTTTAAAGGGCATTTCTTAGACTGAAGATATTGAGATATGATGATACCTAGTATTGATTGATCGATTTCAGATATTGAACTGCGCTTAATATCGACAAAACAACAACAACTTTAGAATGTACAGCTCAAAAATTTTAAGTGAACATCTTTTGATAGAACAGATAATCAAGAAAATGCACATGATTTCATGATTCCTATCAAACAAATCCCTCATCCGTATCATCACTGACATTAAGACCGTCATGTGCCCGCTAAGTGGTCCAGAGGTTTCGAGGTTCTCGTGTGCAAGACCAAAGCTGCTAGACTCGATCGAATCCAGCGACATTCAGGAGTCGTAGATGCGTACTCCCACTGATAAGTCCCATAACAGGACACAGCAACTGTCTGAATAGTACTTCCAAGTTCACTTCTAATAATGATCTAACACAGATTAATTCATGGTGTCAATGTATAGTCAGGACGACCAATCAATGCCTTAACTGTCAATGTCACAGACTTCGGTGCTGTTTCCTATTCGACCGAACTGTATAAATACGCATTATCTGTAACGTTTAATGACCCGGATCCCTAGTCCAGGATCATGATTCTCTTCTGGACCCAGACCTCGTACTTTCTGGATGTTTGTAGAATACATGTTCTACTTCATATTAAGTCTTCTTCTCTTTACTCAATGGGGGGGGGAGAGTTGGGACAATCGAATTACAATAACATGTCGTGCGTCACCGGATGCGCTCGATCCTCATTCTCGTTTTCCAACTAACATAAACTCTTACTAATTCAAGCATATCAAATGACGTGTTAACATGCATGCATAATGAATATACTGTAACGGAGTCAAAATTACCACATATAATGTTGCTAACCCGTTCTGTTTTCTTTCTATTTCAGAAAGATCAAACATAAACACTTTGGAAGCTGAAGAACAAGCCCTGAGTGCTCTGAACTTACACGATAACTCATAAGACTTTGTTTCGCACACTATCCACCCTATTTATTTCTGTAGAAACCCCGCGTATTTCGTTTTCAAATAAAAAAGAGTGCCTGCCTTTGCTACCACTTCGTGTTCTCCCTAAGTATGAAGTGTTGAGCTAACTCTGTGTGTGTTGCAATTTTAGATCTGATCCGCTGTTCGGTCGGTGACTACTGTTAACACGTTTTGTTTGATTGAAATAAAACAACACAATATATCTATCTATCTATGTATATATTTACAAAAATTGAAAATTGAACAAACACACACACACACACACTTTTTGAAAAAAAACAAGTACCAATTGTACTTCTCAAATATTTGCATGTATTAACTATTGATTATTGATCACAAAATGATAAATAAATACAGAGAAAAAAGAGTTAAGCGAGAAAGAATGAAAGGAGACTCAAAAAAAGCAAAAAAAATTGATCATTCCTTTGTTTATATACCATACCACATGAAGATATGATATTGTGTTATGTATGATACATGAACTATGTATGCGAACAGTGTGATTCTAACGTTCAGAGAGAGGGAGAGAGAGACAGACAGACAGAGAGCGAGGGAGAGATAGACAGACAGGTAGAGTGAAGTAAACGAGACTATAAACAATAAATATGGTATAATCATACTTAGAGTGCAAGAGAGAGAGAGAGAGCAAGACAGAGAGTGAGAGAGACAGACAGACAGAGTGAAGTAAACGAGACTATAAACAATAAATATGGTATTAATCATACTTAGAGTGCAAGAGAGAGAGAGAGCAAGACAGAGAGTGAGGGAGAGACAGACAGACAGAGTGAAGTAAACGAGACTACAAACAATAAACATGGTATAATCATACTTAGAGTGCAAGAGAGAGAGAGCAAGACAGAGAGTGAGGGAGAGACAGACAGATAGACAGACAGAGTGAAGTAAACGAGACTATAAACAATAAATATGGTATTAATCATACTTATAGTGCGAACGATAATTTGGATTAGATTAAAGCTTAAAGAATAATCATTCATTAAGTAGTATTAGTTAGTAGTAGTTGACTAAATCGAAGAAAAAAAACACAACACAAGACAAGACAATAATAACAATGAATTATTTTTTTTATATTAAAATTTAAGTTTTAAAATAAATGTCACAATTTGGAGCAGTAGTTGATAAATTTGAATAATTTTTTAAATGATCAGTAGTAGTATGCATTGGGATAAATCGATCATTATAATAATAATTATTATTACTGTAAGAATTCCATATATTATTCATATTTGAACATAATGGTTGATAAATAAATTTACTACTAGTAGTACTACTATTTATATCTTCGGTGTTACAAGGATATAAACTATGTGCAACAATGTTAGTGTGAAGACTATTATGACTTAGATTGTTAGATCGACTATAATGATGATGATGATTGTAAGTATGAGCTGTGCCAACACGATTACGTGATTGTGTAGAAGAGTCAATAATTGGTATTTCAATAGCACCAGGTATATTGTCATCTGTTTCATCTTTTATTTCAAAACCAATTTCCAAGGAGTGTTCACTTTGAAATGATGAACTGCCGTCGTCGTCATCATCATCATTATCATCACGACGATTGGAAAGATGTTTACAATTTTCAGGCAGCTGTAAATACGGTGGAAAAAAACAGACTGAATTAAAAAATGGAAAAAAGATGTGAATATATGCTGAGATTTTCTAAACTACTACTGCTACCCTCAATTGAGCATAGGCCACCTACTAGAATTTTTAAACCTACTCTCTCTCTCGCCTCGGCATTCTTTTCCAGTTCTATCGAATTGTATTCTATTCTGTTCATGTCTGCTTTAGGTTGTCGGCGCAATCTGTTCTTTAGTCATTCTCTTCTCCCATAGCCTAGAAGCTTCCGAGTTAAGCGCTAGCCTTGTAACCTACTTGAGTGATTTCTCCATTATGTGTCCTATACACCTCCAGCTCTTCTTCCGAATTTCTTCCTCCACTTAGATCTGGTCTTTTCTATCCTACAGTAGGTTGTTACTGATTGTATTTGGCCAGAGGATCCGCAGTAGCTTGCGTAGATTATTCATTTGAAAAAAAATGTTGCCATTGCATTGTCAATCCATGACTTCCCATTTGCGTCAGATCCACCTTGCTCATCAATGACTCTGCCCAGTTTATTTAAAGGTTTCTATATCCTCCAAAGCTTCTCAGTCAAGTGTGATTTGGTTGATACATACTGTGTTGTATCAGAGAATATTACCTTTTCCCTTGTATGTGTGTTGAGAGTTACTGTTTCAGAGGCTGCTCTAACACTGGTCGTCTTTGCATGCATTTATTGTTGCGTGTGGGATATAACAGGTAGATCATTTGCAAAGTGCACGTCGTCCAGGTGCATCCTAACATCCCCCCAAATGTTGACGTATTCATAATCAAGTTGAGCTATCTTGCGTAACACCAGCATTCAATTCGAGTGAGTCTGCGAACTGTACTCCATGTATGATCTTACAGTTTAATCCATTAGAATTCCATAGTGTCTAAAGAAGCTTCCATACTGGTCGTCTTGTCCAAGATGTCGACCGATTTTTCCCATCCAATGAATTCAATGTAGATTAGTGAATTGCATTCAATTGATTCTTCCATCATGATCTGTAATGTCGGGAGTTCGTTGGTGATGAAATATATATTAATGTGAGTAATCGATCTCCACCACTATCGAATTCGAATAGATTACAAAACATATATATATATATATATATATATATATATATATATTTAGGCGCAGTAGGCCTCGACGAGCTATGTTTTGTGGTGTAGGAGTAGGTTGGAAGAAAGCTAGGGGCGGCCAAACCAAAACATGACAGAATTCCATGAAGTCATTGACAAGTGGACTTAGCCATGTCCGCAGTTGTCGACTACCAGTCGACTACCCGAGATGATAATAATCGATGGTTAGAGATCCTGAATGACATGGCTCAAAACCGTATGCAATGGCGCAGGGGCATTTATTCTTTGTGTTCTATCAAATCCTAATCTTCTGGATTCTTTAATCCCTCTAGTTTTGACTTTCTAAACTTTTCTCACTGAATCATACTTCTTGAATAATATCTTCTAATCCTAACCTCTTCGATTACTTCTAATACCTTTACTACCTCTTCTACTATTGGATTTGAATTGACAATTATATCTCTGTGCTGAGGTGATATGGCAACATGAACTGATGTACGTACGTACGTACGAAGTTCTACATCGCTCTAATGATGATGATGAATAGGCGCAGTAGTCCGAGTTCACCGATTCAGCTGTTAACGGTATTGTAGACGCGTTTCATGTGACTGAAGTCATAATAAAATCAAGGACAAGTGTTTCATCCTATTAAGACACGTAGTTTTTTGATTAAGCGCTTCTCCTATTTTTTTTTAAATTGATGTAAATCAACTTTGAAATAAACAATCAACAATTAATTGATCAATGATCAATGTTACACATTTTTTGAAACCATGAATCGATCAATGTTAGACCATCACCATTAGAAACCTGGAAGCACTGGACGGCCGTTTCGTTCTGGTATGGGACTCATCAGTGTGCAGTGCGCATCCACGACGACTCCTGCACCCCGCAGGATTCGAACGCAGGACCTTCGGTATTGTGCGCGAACGCCCTAACCGTTAGACCACTGTGCCGAAGGTCCTGCGAGGTTCAGGAGTCGTGAACGCGCACTGCTACTGATGAGTAGTCCCATACCGGGACGAAACGGCCGTCTTTCAGTGCTTCCAGGTTTGTCTAATGGTGTTAGTCTAACATTGATCGATTTTCATGGTTTCAAAAAAAAGTGTAACTTAACAATCTTCACAACCCCGTCATGCAAATGATCAATGTGTCGAAGAAAAAGAAAGAGAAATAGACACGTTTTACGTAGAAAATTCAAATCGAATCCAGGTTATTAACAAACAGGAAAAACTATTTGAAATCATGATCGATAGAAATATGAGTTTTTTTTGTGTTTCTTCTTATTGATTGTCATTTTTTTTTTAAAAAAAAAATACTAAACGATCTAACTAACCTGTGTTGAATCCACAATGAATACATCCGATTCAGTTGGAGATGATGGTTTTACAGAACTCTGTTCAATGGTATCATCTGTATGAAGATGAAATAAAAAGTAAAAACATTTAAAAAAAAACAGTTAATACACATATATTATTAGTTGAAAAGTTCAGTCAGATTAAAAAAACATAGAAGTTCGTATGTACGACGTGCTATTACGCATGCATGTGAAGAACACGTCAACTTGATATGCTTGAACTATTTATTACAAGTTTACTTTTGTCAGTAAACGAGAACAAGGATCGAGCATCCGACTCTATAATCCGAGTGTCCCAACACCCCAGCCCCACTGAGTAAAAAGAAGAAGACTTGATATGAAGTGGAACATGTACCATACAAACATCTAGAAAGTACGAGGTCCGAGTTCAGAAGAGAATCAGGATCCCAGACTAGGGATCCGGGTCCGGGTCATAAAACGTTACAGATAATGCGTATTTATACAGTTAGGTCGAATAGGAACCAACATTGAAGTCTGTGACATCGATAGTTAGGACGACCATACTATAAACCAGTAGTGGTAGTCTTGTGACTACCATATGCAACAATGCAAGCATGTTCGGGATGCGGTCCTCACTCTCAAAATGCAAAATGTTTCTTCAAGATTAGGTTGCACCGGCACCTGAACTAGTGATAGAGAGTAAAGTAGTCAGGAGTGCCGATCACTTGACTTATCTTTAGAGTCTTATCAGTGCTGATGGCCTGGTGACTGAAGGAACCCCAGAGCGGATACAGAAAGCTCAATTGGCTTTTGCCAATTTGCGTCATTTATGGAGTAGGCGAGATAACCGTTTGCTAACCAAAGGTCGAGTGTACTGTGCAGCAGTTCGCTCCGTTCTCTAATATGGATGCGAAACATGGCCGTTAAGAGTAGAAGATGTTCGTAGGTTACTAGTATTCGATCGTAGATGTCTTAAAAGCATTGCTCGTGTATTGTGGGACGACCGTATAAGCAATGCTGCCATTATGAAGCGAGTACTAGGTAAGGATGGTAGATCAGCTGATGAAGTAGTGAAACCTCATCAGCTGAAGTGGTTCGGACATGTATTACGAATGCACAACCACTAAATTCCTCGAGGAGCAATGATTTGTGCTGTAAATTTAGGCTAGAAGAAAGTTAGGCGTGACCAGACCAAAACATGGCAGAAATTCATGAAATCACTGACAATTGGACTGAGTCATGTCGGTAGTTGTCAACTACCTGGTCGGAGTCCGCGAGATGATAATAATCGATGGTTAGAGACTTTGAATGACATGGCTCATAATCGTTTGCAATTGCGCAGATGCATTCATTCTTTGTGTTCTCTCAAATCCTAATCTTCTGAGTTCTTCAACACCTCTAGTTTTGACTTTCTAAACTTATCTCACTGAATCACATACTTCTTGAATAATATCTTCTAATCCTAACCTCTCTGATTACTTGTTATTTACCTTTACTTCCTCTTCTACTATTGGATTTGAATTGACAATTACATCTCTGTGCTGATGTGGTATGGCAACATGAACTGATGTACTTACACGTACGTACGAAGTTCTACGTTGCATCTGACTGACTGACCACAATAATTCAAACATATTTCTTTAAAATGAATAATTCTTTTATTTTTTTGAAAAATAAAACCATTTTATAAGATGTAAATTTGATTTTTTTCATAAAAATCAAACAAAACATTGAAATATATATATAATTTCATATGTAAACTAACCTTCTACAAGAACACCATTAATGGGTACAGTTACAAATGGTATACTACTACTGTCTAAAACATTTTCACCAATATTATTAATAACATTGTCAATAGCATGATTGGCGCCATTATTACTATTACTAGTATTATTATTATTACTAACTAATATGTCGTCTTGTTGTTGATGCAACAGTGTTGAATGAGATTGAATAACAACACGTTGAGGTGATGATACATGGTCATCAGCAGTAACAGTATGTACACCAAGTTTAATACTATGATCATTTGTAATCGTACTAATACTACTAGTAGTGGTACTATTAGTAGTAACAATCGTCGGATTACTATCGTTATTATTATTATGATTATCATCAGTGGGATTGTCAGTACAAACAACATTATTTGGTAGAGTTTTATCAATTTCACTATGGAATAGAAATTCTGCATTATCATCCGTTGAATTTAAAGCAGCATAAAGAATTTGTAAATCTTCCTTCACATTTGAATCAATCGATAAATCAATAAAAATGAGAAAAAACAACACCAATAACAACAACAAGAGAATTAGTAAGTAATTAAAAAAAGCAATGTATGTATACGATAAAAAAAAAATTCGTTGAGATTGTGTATAAACGGCTCATCTTGAGAACCACTGACAATAAAAGCATGTTCCGGGATGTGGGTCTCAATCACGAAATGCAAAACAGGTTGATTCAAGATTGAGTTGTATCAGTGTACCTAAACTAGTGAGTGAGTGAGTGATAGGGAGTGAAGTAGTTGAACGTGTAGACCACTTCATTTATCTTAGGAGTCGTCTCATCAGTGTTGATGGCCTAGGTGACTAACAAAATCTAAACTTGTGTCACTTAGGGCGTAGGCGTGATATCCGTTTGCTGACCCAAGGATGAGTATACTGAGCAGTAGTTCTCTCCGTCTTACTTAATGGCTGTGAAACATGACCAGTCAGAGTAGAAGATATTCGTAGGTTACTGGTATTCGATCATAGATGTTTAAGAAGCATTGCTCGTATATCGTGGGACAACCGAGTGAGCAATGCTGTTGTTAGGAAACGGGTACTAGGTAAGGGTGACAGGACAATAGATGAAGTATTGAAACTTCATCAGTTGAGGTGTTTGGGACATGTATTACGAATGCGCAACCACCAACTGTCTTGACGAGCGATGAGTTGTGCTGTAGGTCTAGGCTAGAAGAAAGTTAGGGGTGGCCAAAACAAAACATGGCACAAATCCATGAAGTTACTGACAACTAGACTGGTTGGGGCCTGCGAGATGATAGTTGATGATAGACGATTGTTAGAGACAATGAATGAAATGGCTCAAAATCGTGTGCGATGGCGCAGGTCCAAACATTCTTTGTGTTCTCTCAAATCCTAGCTTTCTGAATTATTCATCACCTTTATCGTTTTCTTTCTAAGTTTATTTCACTAGATTCTACTTCTTAAATAATCGAACCCTAAAATTTCCGATCACTGCTAATACTTCTACTACTTCTATTACTATGTGATTTTTGAAGTGATAATTACATCTCTGTGCTAATGTGGTATGGTAATTTGAACTGATGCATGCACGTACGTACAAAGTTCTATGTTGTTGGTGTTGTTGACTGATATACATAGAGGAATATGAAGAAGTCATTGGATTATTTTAAGAGGCTAACATTACAGCGAGTAAAGAATAAATATGCACGTTAGGCACGGGGTAAGCAATACTCAAGCCTAAATAAGCTTATACAAGCACAACAATCATAAAGACATAATGTTACATGATAAGTTATGGCTATACATGAATGAATCTATCTGTTAAAACAAGTTAATCAAAACGGCTTAACGTGAACAAACTCAAATGTATGTGAGTTATGCTATAATTAATAATACATTTATAGTGAAGGAGAACACAGATGGGGCAACCGAATTGTATTTAATGAAAATTACAGAGTTACTCAGTAAAATAGGGAAACCATATCGTAAATCGTTAATTTGCAAAATATCAGTTCATCATATCGAACTGGACTGTTCCTGTTGCAAAACATCAATCCATTGTCACTATTCATGCGTTTCATACAAATTCCATTGTGTTCCCGCTCTTCTTACTTTCTTGATCTTCCCCCATCTTCTGCCGCTAGACATTACGTTGACACTCACGTCATATACTACTTATAAGTAGCTCACACCACACACTGAATAGGATAAACTTTTGTATGTCTCTCACTCAATGAAAGATACAAACTACACAGTTGTAGTTTAGTATAATTAACTAATGTGAAAGTATAATGAGCTTGTGATGATTGAATGAAACTTTAATTGAATGCACTAATAGACATTCTGCTTGCTCTTAATTTTTCTCCCAGTGGTTGATTGGACTAACAAGACATCAACATCTAAAGAGAGGCGAAAAGGATAACATAAACAGCTAGAATGTAGCTGTATGATTCAATCTTCACAGATCACCTTACACCTTATATGCCATACACAACAACAAATGTGGATGAAGACCGCTAGTGTAGCGGCAGCACCAGCAGCAGCATGTGGTGCAGTAGTAGTTTTCAACAAACATAAAAGGAAAAACAAGGGTCTTAGATACGACACTACATGAACCAATCAAATTACATTTGATGAAGAAGCGTTGGCCAATGTACTTAATTACTTACTTACGCCTGTTACCCCCAATGGAGCATAGGCCGCCCACCAGCAGCATTCTCCAACCAACTCTGTCCTGGGCTTCCTTCTCTATTTCTGTCCAATGTTTGTTCATTCCTCTCATATCTTTCTCTATTTCTCGGCGTAGTGTGTTCCTTGGCCTTCCTCGTTTCCTTTGACCTAGAGGGTTCCATGTGAGGGCTTGTCTTGTGACGCAGTTAGGTGCTTTTCGTAGTGGATGTCCTATCCAGTTCCAACGTTTCTTCCTTGATTTCCTCATCCACTGGAATCTGGTTTGTTCTCTCCCACAGTTCGTTGTTGCTGATGGTGTCTGGCCAACGAATACGAAGTATTTTGCGTAGATAACTGTTAATAAACAATTGTATCTTCTGGATGATGGCTTTGGCAGTTCTCCATGTTTCCGCTCCATACAATAGAACTAACTGTCTTGACATTTGTATTGAAAATCCTGATTTTGGTTTTGGTTGACAGTTGTTTGGAGTTCCATATATTTTTCAACTGTAGAAATGCAGCCCTTGCTTTGCCAATCCGCGCACTCACATCTGCATCGGATCCACCTATCTCGTCGATGATGCTGCCCAGATATGTAAAGGTGTTAACGTCCTCCAAGGCATCTCCATCAACAGTGATTTGATTGGTAAATGTTGTGTTGCGCCGGAGAATTTCGCTTTTTCCTTTATGTACGTTGAGACCTACTGCTGCAGAGGCTGCTGCTATTGGCCAATGTGGAAACCTTTATATCCATGCCTATGTAACAACACCATTGGTAGTAAGCAAAAAGGCTCTGATGTATATGTACAGACACGGATTGACAAAACAAAGGCAGCCTTTCTACAACGGAAGAACATGTGGGACTCAAAACAACAATCAATCAACACCAAAGTTTAAATTTTCAATACAAATAACAAAACACATCTACTGCATGGAAACTTGGAGAACTAACTACAAAAGTCAGCATCAAGTGCTCACTAACAATTGTCGTTACGCAACATACTCCGGATAAATTGGACAGACAGCATCAGGGAGAACCTACTATGAGATAGAACAAACCAGATTACAACAGTTGGTGAAAAAATATTAGGGAAAAAGCACTGGAAGTGAATAGGACACTGTTACGCTTGCACATAAACACGTCAACTTGATATGCTTAAACTATTACGAGTTTACCTAAGTCGGAAACGCGAGATCGAGGATCGAGGATCCGGCGACACGACATGCTAATCAAATCCGATTATCCCAAACCCCATATTGAGTAAAAATAAGACAAGACTTGATATGAAGTAGAACATGTATTCAACAAGCATCCAGAAAGTAGGAGGTCCGAATCCAGAAGAGAATCAGGATTACAGACTAGGGATCCGGGTCATAAAACGTTACAGATAATGCGTATATATACATTTAGGTCGAATAGGAAACAGCATCGAAGTCTGTGACATTGACATCTAAGACGACCAATAGGAAGCAACATTGGAGCACGTGACATAGATATCTAGGACGACCATAAAATTGACCAGTAGGAATTGACCAATAATTCTCTTAGGATATTGGATGAATATCCTAACAGACACATATTGAGGAAATCAACCTACTGCATTCACAAGGCAAGCCCTAACTTGGAGTCCTCAAGGTCAAATGAAAAAAAAACGGAAGACCAAAGAACACATTGTGTCGAGAATCCGAGAGAGATGGGAATAGAATAATAACTAATGATTGAAAAGGAAGCCCCAGGACAAAGTTAGTTTGAGAATGCTTATCAGCGGCTTATGCTCTTCTTATAAAAGATAACAGGTGAAAGGTAGCCACTACTAACAGACCATCATTTATACTCAGATAAATAAATCAATGCCATAGGTAGAAAGTTATGTTTATCAATAATAATAAGCCATTGATATCATGAAAGCTGAATTTAAAATATCCAATAAAAAAAGAGTCAACGACTGATCAATTGTTTGATTGATGAGAAGCTTAGAGTATTTGCAAATTGAAATCAGGCTTAACGTTTAGAAAAAAATCGGATGTCATAAACTTAATACTGTTCTAGTAATCTTTGAGGCATTTTACAGCTTATTTATTCTATTCATATTTTCCTAATTTATTTTTGTCTCTATTTTTCTGGAAACTTATTACTTTTGATAATTCAAAATGATGAATCCTTCTGAGTCAGATCACAACTGAATGCTCGGAAGCATTGAATAGCTAGATCGTCCTAGAGAAGAACTCCTCACCAATGAGCACTCATGACATAGGAATTCAACCAAAGACCTTCAGTTCCCCTCGTGAACTCCTAACCTCGACTATACCAAAGTTCTTAGTGTCCAACAAGATACAAGTGTGTTTATAAACAGTTATCTACGCAAAATACTTCGGATTCATTGGTCAGACACTGTTAACAACAACTGATTTTCGATCATAGGTGTCTTCGAAGCATTGCTCGTATATCCTGGGACACCCGAGTGAGCAACGCTGTTATTAGAAAACGGGTGCTAGGTAAGAATGGCAGATCAATAGATGAAGTAATGAAACTTCATCAGTTGAGGTGGTTAGGACATGTGTTGCGTATGCCTAACCACTGACTGCCTCGACGAGTTTTGTTTTGTAGTGTAGGAGTAGGTTGGAAGAAAGTTAGGGGCGGCCAAACCAAAACATGGCAGAAATTCATTAAGTCATTGACGAGTGGACTTAGCCATGTCGGTAATTGTCGACTACCTGGTTGGGGTCCGCGAGATGATAATAATCGATGGTTAGAGACCTTGAATGACATGGCGCGAAATTGTTCGCAATGGCTCCGGTGAATTTATTCTCTGTCGTTCTCTCAAATCTTAATCTTCTGGATTCTTCAACAACTCTAGTTTTGACTTTCTAAACTTATCTCACTGAATCACATACTTCTTGAATAATATCGTCTAATCCTAACCTCTCCGATTACTTCTCATACCTTTTTACTACCTCTTCTATCTACTATTGGATTTGAATTGACAATTCCATCTCTCTGTGCTGATGTGGTACGGCAACATGAAATGATGTACTTACGTACGAAGGTCTACGTTGCATCTGACTGACTGAACAACAACCTATTATAGGACAGAAGAAACTAAATTCCATTGTAGGCAGAGATTAGGAAGAAACGCTGGAAGTGAATAGAGAACACACATTGAGTCAAACATCCAACCACATCACAAGACAAGCTCTCACACATCAAATCCTCAAGGTCACAGAACACAATACACCGAGAAACGGAGACACACATGAGAAGAATGAACAAAAATTGAACAGAACTAGAAAAAGAAGGCCCAAGATAGAATAGTTAATTGGCAAATGCTCTATTGGGAGGTAACAGGCGTAATTAAGTAAGTAAGTAAGTAATTAAGTCAACCAATCCACAATGTTACGTAATTATATATTCATTCAGTGATTGTTCTATGATGGATAATTGTCGCTTCACAGATTTACTGATTCATTGAAAACATGATCAATAAAAATAACGAGAGAGAGAGAGAGAGAGAGAGAAAAGAAAAAAAACTACCTACTTCCAAATATGGCCATTCACCATAGATTGAATTCAATCGGTCATGTTCTGATGCAGATGTGATAGTCGGTGTTGTGAGATGATCATTCGGATGATTTTGATTATCAACAGTTTTATTACTGCTACAATCGAATTCAATTAATTGTTTTTGCAACGATTCCACTGGATAAACAGTATAACGTAAATTACGTAAAGTACGAATGGCTGAATGAAAATCCAGCGCATAAATTGTCATAATGTAAGCAGCAACTACGGCGACATTAGCTGACAAACCAGAATCACTGTTTGTGGTCACACAAAAAGTAAAAAGCAAAAAAGCAAAGAGTAAAGCGTACAGTAAAAAACATGAGACAACAAATTGGGAGTGAAGAAAATAAAATGAAAAAATATGTTTGAAAGTAGCGGGGAGACACAGATTAGATCGCCAGAACTCACTTGATCAAGGTACTAATTTTGGATTTTGATGTTTTCACGTATGGACTTGATTAGTTGACCTTGAGATTACATTTCCCAGTTGGGAAATCCTTGACTCATTGTTAGACCAACATTAGAAACCACGACTCGTGCACCTCGCAAGATTCGTCAGTCAGTTGCAACGTGGATGCGCACTGCTGAAGAGTCCTCCCATAGCAGGACGAAACGGCCGTCCAGTGCGCTCCAGGTTTCTAATGTTGGTCTAACAATGATTGTTGATTTCAAATGTGTAAAAAACACTAAGCTCCATAACTCTAATTGAAAAAATCCTTGATTGTTATTGGTTGATTTAGTATTGTAGTAGGCTGTTTTTGTGGCTCCCCTAAGGATGTTTCTATCACGTATAATAAAACTCGATTTTTGTGCTTGCAGACCTCATATTTTCTGGGTGCTTGTAGAATACACATTCGTGACACCCCTATCTCTTCCGTGGCCGGATATGACGTAACTAACGATTGACATTAAATTTTTTTATTTTATTTTTATTTTTACACATTTGCTTATTACGTAATGTTTTTGATGTTTTTTGATGATTATTTGAATTCTATTCATCCACCTTTGACCTACTTTAGTTATCATATTTTATAAATTTTCCTACTACTATCGGTTCACCTCTGTCTTCCTACTATCCACTTGTACTTTTGCTTTTTTCATTTCATTGTGATTAATGACTCAAATTGCCTTGATTGGTTTTAACATTTTCATCTTGATAAATATTCATGTATATTAGAGTAAAGCCTGATAACGATCTAATCGAAAACAGTAATATTGTTCGCTTATATATGTGTTGCTCTAATTCTACGTCTTGTCAAAACTTCTTCTGCTTACTGAAGCATTGGGACGCTCGGATTAGAATAGCCTATCGTGTCACTGGATCATTTGTATTTACTCTCGTTTATAGAGTAGGGTGAACTCGTAATAGCATTCAAGCATATCAATTGACGAGCATAACAAACAGAAAACAGTCATGAAGTACTAGACAACTGTTTAATCCTAGCGCAAAACGTTTTTTAGCCACAAAAAGGCTCTCTCGATTCGGAGAACACTACCGGTCGTCGAGTGTGAGTTTATGATGAACTAACATCGGAATTGATTAATTCAAGTGATATGCGAACAGAGTTGTTCATTTTCTTCATTCTTATTAAACTTTGATTATTGACACACTTTTGAAGATGACACTTTCATCACTAGTTGACTTTTTACAAGTTGACCTTTTGTACTAGGAGATTCAAATGTTGTGAAACATGATCATTAAGAATAGAGATTATTGGTAGGTTACTTGTGTTCGATCATACAAGTCTTCGCAGAAATGCTCGTTTTTTTCCAGGGACAATGGAGTAGGTAGGAAATGCTAGTGTTAGGAAAAGGGTACTAGGTAAGGATAGTAGACAAGCTGATGAAGTAGTAGATCTTGGTGAGTTGAGGTGGTTGGGATATGTGTTGCGTATGCTTAACCACCGACTGTCCTGACGACCAATGTTTTGTAATATGGAGGTAGGCTCGGAGATAGCTAGGGGCAGTCAAACCAAAACATGGCACAAATCCATGAAGTCACTGACAACTGGATTGAGCCATGTTGTTAGGTGTAGACTACTAAGGCTGGGGTCGACGAGATGATAATAATCGACATGGCTCAAAATCGTATGCACATGTGTATTCTCTTAAATTCTAATCTTCTGAATTCATCACCACCTTTATCTTTCTCTTTTAAAATTTAATTTACTGAATTATACTTCTTGAATAATATCTTCGAATCTTAATCTTCTCCATTACCGTTAATACTTTTACTACATCTACTACCACTACGATATTTGAATCGACAATCCCATCTCTCTGTGTACTACGGGAACTTGGATTGATGTGTGCATGTACCAAGTTCTACGTTGTAGCTGACTGACTGAATCAGACACCTAACAACATCGTATTTCAAGATATTAGATGATGCGACATTCGTAATACATTTATTACTCAAACATCTCCTCCATTAATGAACATCCTCTATCTGCATTCAAATAAACGGAGTAGACAATTCGAAATCGGTTCACAACGATCAACTATCCCCAAGATCAATCAGCTTTACACAACACATTTAGTACAATGAAGATTAAGCGACTTTTATTTATCAACCAATCAGCGCTTACGAATATCAAGCAATCAGCTGATTGAAGTTACGTGGACAAGTTACGCTGTACAATTTATTCTATACACACCTAGTTAACTTGTTATCTTGTACAAGATCTATTCTTGATCCTAATTCAGCTGATTTGAAGTGAGGCAGATTTTATTGATTGAAGATCCCATCAGCTAAATAATAGTTGATAAAAGAGTACACATAGCTCATTTGTTTGTTCATAGGAATATTTACAAGAAATCGATAAACAGTATTCTCTACCTAACACGTATATCACATGGAATTATAACGGTAAACGTACTACAGTGTTAGGGATGTTATATCCCCAGAACACACTTGATAAAGGTCCTAATTTTTGGGTTTTTTTAGGTTTTCGCGCACAGACTGATCAGTTGACCTTGAGATTACATTTTCCAACCGCAAAATCCTTGACTGTTGTTACTGGCTGATGCTCTCCCGAAGACGTTTCTATCATGTTGTATAAATAAACTCGATTTGTGTGCTTGTTAGCATACACTTTCTACGCCCCTTATCAAGACTTCTTGATTTAGTCAACAGGGGGCCTTGGAACGCTTCGATTAGAGTAGCCTATCATGTCACTGGATCACATTGTCTTCGCTCTCGTTTACCAAATCAGCTGAACTCGTAATCGCTCTTCAAGCATATCACACAGTCACACAAATACCATCATCTTACATGTATACATATATATACATATAGATATCACTTACCTGCACACTAAAACATTTCCACTATCCAAACGAGCTTGATGAATAAAATCATTAGATAATGGAATTTGTTTTAATAAACTATTCTCTAATTTTTCATTGACAATAAGATGTAGATATTGACGACTGATCGACTTGGATTATTTTAAACAAATGTTACAGACAAACAAACAAAAAAAGAAAGAACAATAGAAAAAATGTAAGTGAAAAGAAAAGAAATGTTGCATCACAATGAGACAAAATTATACATTGAAATTAAATTTTTGAATTATATTATAGTAAGTCAGATAGTAAGTACTTCTGTGGTGTGAGCTACTTATAAGTAGTATATGACGTGAGTGTCAACGTAATATGTCTGGTGGCAGCAGAAGAAGATGGGGGGAAGATCGAGAGAAAGGAAGAGTGGGGGGAACACAATGGAATTTGTATGAAACGCATCATGAATAGTGAGTGACAATGGATTGTTGATGTTTTGTAACAGGAACAGTCCTCCAGTTCGATATGATGGACTGATATTTTGCAAATGAACGATTTACGCGATATGGTTTTCCGATTTTACTGAGTAACTCTGTAATTTTTCGCTAAATACAATTCGGTTGCTCTCACCTGTGTTCTCTTTCACTACACTTCTAGGGTTATTGCGAGTTTTAAGCCTTGATGAGAAGGCAAAAGAAATGGACATGGAGTTCGCAACCTTATCCCGTAGTAAGCGAACTTGATTCGCTAAAAACGCCAACCAAAAATACACAATAATTCAAACCATTTTTACTTTGCCCTGGGAATTGGAAAGTTAGTGGGATATAGATTGAATTAAAGCATGATTTTGCTGCTGCATGCTGATTGGCTAATTCTCTATCCAATCAGCGCTAGTTGATACTAGGAGAACATTCTAGAATCTTCTCATGCAAAAATATACTAATATCTTTTTCCTGTGGACCTTCTGACTTCCATCTAACCTTGTTATTGGAATATAATCTATATTTCCTGTTCAACCGTATTCTGATTTGGGAGAACGTCTTGAGTTAATTGGTGTCCGAGAATACCAAGCAATAGGAATAGCTGGGTTGTAATGAAGAGAGAATTATAACACATACTTTTACAAGAGCTAAGATGCTTCATTATGAAAACCCTTGCAGAAATGAAAAGATACAACCTGTTGGTGTTTGAAGTTAGTAGAACCCATTGGACTCTATCTGAACCAAAGAGATTAGCGTCAGCAGAGATGCTGTTGTACTCCAACCATGAATGAGTTGTACTGATGCAACAAAAGCATTTATAATCTCATGGACAAATTATTATCAAAGCATCCTTCAAAACAAAGAGGGGATTACCATGAACTTTGTCCGTGAGGACGTTAAAAATCAATTCTATGACAGGCTGCAGTCAAATGTCGAAAGATGCCCAACAAAGGACTTGACCATTCTGATGGGGGACATACATGCCAAGGTATGGATCAACAACACAACAGAACCAAATCGATCATACCTGCGGTATCAAAGAGTTCAGTAGGACGATGGAGGACGTAAGAATCAAGAGAGGAGCCGACACAGTTTCAGATTATCACTTGGTGATATCGTAAATGAGGCTGAAACTAAAAAAGCACTGGACAATTGGATCAACATTATTGGAAAATTTTAATACGGCCTTTTTGGGGATACTGGAAAACTCAACGAATTCAATATAACTCTCAGCAATAAGTTCTAAACCCTTAATGATTTGTGTAATGGACAGAGAACTACCATGGAGAAAAACTGTAAACGGATCAAATAAGCAGTAACTTTAGCATGTCATATAGTTTTGGACCACAAGAACCGCCATCACGAGGAATGGATAGTAAATGATACACTTGGTAAGATTCACGAATGGGAGAACAGGAAGACAGTAATCCATAACAGTCAAGTAAGAGCAAAGAAAGCCAAAGAAAACAGAAGGAACATATAGAAGCAAACATGCGAGTCAAAAGAAGTATTAAAATGGAGCAACAAAGGGCAACAAAGCAGCAGGACTGGAGAACATATTGGCTGAAGCACTGAAATCAGACATAGAACTAACTGCAAGGACAACGCACACTCTCTTTAGCAAGATTTCGAAAACAGAACAAGTACCAAAGGACTGAAAACAAAGACATCTCATCAAGATATCATAGAAAAGAGAACTCAGCAAGTGTTAGAACTACACATAAATCACTATACTCTCAATGCTAGGGAAAGTTTTCAACACTGTTGCTAAACCGCATGAAAGATTCAGTAGACAGATACCCAACTTTGAGAACAGTAGGCTGGATTCTGTAAACGTAGGTCGTGCACTGAACAAATCGCGACACTGTGGATCACTATGGAGCAATCAACTGAATGCAACTCACTATTAGTCATCAACTTCATTGACAACGAGAAAGCATTCGAAAGCATGGACAGAAGACCGGTTTCAAAGAAAACTGCTTATTCTGGCCCTTTCTCTCTCCTCTGCTGGTTGATTAGATTATGAAGACATCAACATCTTAGGGGAAGCAATACATACAGTGTACTACAAGGCATGCAGCTAGATGACTAGGACATAGCGGATGGACCACCCCCACTATCCCACACAGAGTAAGAAAATGCGGAAATCCTCCAACCGCATCACGAAGCAACCCTTAATTTGAAATCTTCAAGGCCAATAGAAAAGAGGTAGACCAAATAACACACATTACTTCTAGAATTGGAAACAGATATTAAAAGAATGAGTGGCAATCAGAAATAACCGGAAAAGAAGAACCAGAACAAACTTGGTTGTAGAACCCCAATCGACAGCTCCATGAAGGGTAACGGGCATACGAAAGATATACAACGAAAGAATCAAACTACACATAGTAGCAATAAGGTTAAATTTAACTCGACAAAGAGAATATACTCGATAATCTAGCGAAACAATACATCTGCAGCATTAACACGGGGGTTTTATATATATCTTATGTCGACCAATTAGCATTCCACAACATATAAGCAGTCGACATATAAAAGAATAAATATACTGGGCCAATCACAGGTCACCTAATGAGAAGGCCATTTAATGACCATTGGGAAATACCCTAAAAAAGCCGAATGTATAATCTTGGAACCGCGCATCATAGCATACAGAACTCAGATGTAACAGTTCAGATTTTTCTTTCGATATGTGTAAACTTATTTTGCAAACAATATCTGCAAACCTTCTTTATAGTCACTCTAAATTTAATATTGTTTCATTTTACTACAGTATTTACAAACATCTTCATCGCTATTATGAAAGATCTTACTTTTTAAAAACTCGTGGTTACTATTCATAATGAATATAATTTATAAGGAAAAATATTTGAATTTTACGCCTTAATTGGTAGGTTTCAACATTGTTTCACCTATTCTAATTTAAACAAGCAAATATTATCATTATTACCCATAAAAAATACGGTATGACTATAAGCTAAGTGACTTAGGCGTTAGGACGTGCGATTCTCAGTCACTAACTTCAAAATTCAAGCCCCGGCTCCACTCATTTTCGATTGGAACTGTGGCTTACGCCTAAGTATTCGATAAATGAGTGAATTAGTATAAAAAGTGTTACAATGTGCACTGTTCAAAATCTTAACGCGGTACATGCGGACCCACCAAAACTGACTACTTAAGTAAGGTAAGAGTGGGAGAGGAAGTCTATTTGGCTATGGAATAATATGTACATTCGTCTACATATATATATATATATATATATATTCTGTGGCATTAGAAAATGAATTGTTAGGATATTCATTCAATATCCTAAGAGAATTATTGGTCAAATCAGTCAGTCAGATGCAACGTAGAACTTTGTACGTAAGTACATCAGTTCATGTTGCCATACCACATCAGCACAGAGAAGTAATCGTCAATTCAGATCCAATAGTAGAAGAGGTAGTAAGGGAATTAGAAATAATCGGAGAGGTTAGGATTAGAAGATATTATTCAAGAAGTATGATTCAGTGAGATAAGTTTAGAGAGTCGAAACTAGAGGTGTTGAAGAATCCAAAAGATTAGCATTTGAGAGAACACAGAGAATAAATGCACCGGCGCCATTGCGAACGATTTTGAGCCATGTCATTCAAGGTCTCTAACCATCGATTATTATCATCTCGCGGACCCCAACCAGGTAGTCGACAATTACCAACATGGCTCAGTCCACTAGTCAATGACTTCATGGATTTCTGCCATGTTTTGGTTTGGCCGCCTCTGACTTTCTTCCAACCTATTCCTACACTACAAAACAAGGCTCAACGAGGCAGCCGGTGGTTGGGCATACGCAACACATGTCCCAACCACCTCAACTGGTGAAGTTTCAATACTTCGTCGATTGATCTGCCATTCTTACCTAGCACCCGATTCCTAATAACAGCGTTGCTCACTCGGGTGTCCCACGATATACGAGCAATGCTTCGAAGACACCTATGATCGAAAACCATTAACCTACGAATATCTTCTACTCTCACTTGCCATGTTTCACAGCCATAAAGTAAGACGGAGCGAACTACTGCGCAGTACACTCGTCCTTTAGTCAGCAAACGGATATCTCGCCTACGCCATAAGTGACGCAGGTTGACAAAAGCCAATCGAGCCTTCTGTATCCGTGCTGAGATTTCGTCAGTCACCAGGCCATCGGCACTGATGAGACTCCCAAGATAAGTGAAGCGGTCTACACGTTCGACTACTTCACTCCCTATCATTAGTTCAGGTGCCGATGCAACCCAGTCTTGAAGCAACATTTTGCATTTCGAGGGGGAAAATCGCAACCCGAACATGCTTGCATTGTTGCTTAGGGTAGTCAGAAGACTCTGCATTTTGTCAGCGTCTTCACCAAGTAGGACAATGTCATCGGCATATTCTAAGTCAATCAGCGAGCCACCTGGTAGAAGTTCTACTCCTGAAAATTCAGACGAGGATAATGTTATGTCTAGGAGCATGTCTATGATAAAATTAAACAAGAATGGAGAAAGTGGACATCCCTGACGGACACCACTTGATGTAGAGAATTCCGTTGACAGTTCGCCATAAGCCCTCACTCGACCAGTGGTGTTCGAGTAAAGAGCTTGTATAAGGTTAATGTACTTCTGTGGTACACCTTTCAATGACAGACACTGCCACAGAACCTT